TGCAGTATGATAAGCTCGTAATTAAGCCTCTTATTTTTTTTTTTTTTTTTTTTGTTTCAGCAATGTATGGGGGCAAGTTCAAACTAAAAAATTCATAAAGACTTCCCTTCTCATTGATTTTTCACATGAAATTAAATCTTGAATAATTAAATAATAAACTCCCTTACTAACTAAACTCTAACTCTATAAGTTAAAAAAAAAATCCAAAAATAGAAGAAACAAAAAGGCTTTTATGAGACCTTTTCAACAGTACTATGATTATAATAATGCCATATATATTTTTTATTTATAGTTAACGTGTTTATAATTTAGCTTTCGCAAGCACACTCCGTGCATAAACTAGATGTATTTTAAAAAATTAATTTTTTAAGTGATGCTTTCAAGATTTAAATTTTGAGCATAACTTACAATTTAGTTTTTACTTATTAGTAAATTTAATCTTAAATTATAATACTACATAAATTATAAATTTACAATAATATATCACTAAATAAATAGATACAACCAATCATATATCGTCTCCAAATCAGTTACATAATAGTTTTTATGATTTAAGTAGTCAAGATGCCCGTAATAAAACTTTTCTACATTTTTAAACTAATTCCTGCAAATAATATCGCAATGTATTTTAGATTCCATCACAAAAGGTCACCACAAATATAATTTTGATGTTTAAAGTCCATTTTCAATTTGCAAACGGTATTTATTGGTCAAAGGTTGTTCTGTCACAAAAGATGCATAACAATGAGCTGCTCTTGAATATTGAAAATTGCAGGGTACAACATTAGCAGGAAATCACCTCAAAGAGAGAGGATTGAAGTTCGAAATTTCAAGTCACGAAGACGCCAACCAACGTGAAGCGGTCGATTGAAATTGTAACAAAAGGTAGGTAAAGCATGTATGGAGGCACAAGCAACGGAGGCTGGTTGTTTATCAAGATTGAAGAACTTTATAGAATTCTGCAAAAGGGTTTAAAAAAAAAAAAAAACACTATGAGAAAAAGTAAAATTATGAATTAAGGGAATGTTGTAAAATGGAAATTTTCAACAGAAATGTGGTTGAATCATTGAATTGGACAAATCTCTTGAATTTAGGACTATTCTTTATTTAATATTTTTTAATATATAATCTATCATAATTTATATTTCAATACCGAAAACACAAAATTTTTTTTTTTTTGAACAAGGACAATTATAAGGGAAGGGGGAAGGGGGAAGGGGGAAAAGGAATGAACCCAGCTCATGGGTTGGGAGAAGTACCAATAATCCATAAGTTAAATATAAATATTCAAGTGATTAGTGAAATTTGAAATTTTGATTAATCCTACCTAAGTACTAAGACTTGAAGTTGAACCCGAAAGATTAGTTCCACAACTCTTAATTAGTTTGAGAAAGCTACTAGGAATATATATATATATTTTTCTCTGAGTTCTACTCATTCAACAATTTAAACTTAGACTTTCAATTTTAAGTATCAAAATCTTCACTTTTTTTTATCTATAGATATTTGATATTTAATATACTACAAAATACAAAAGATAGTTTTATTATTTCTAAATCCTTTTCCACCATTTTATAAAATTTAAACTTAAAACCTTCAACATAAGAATTCAAAATTGTAATATTTAAAGGTTCCATGAAAGAACTCAACCTCTTAATTTTTAAAACATCCCCAAATGGATCACTATTTGTCGTGTATTATTGCATGCACAGTATGCACGTTAGTTTTCTCTTATCCTTCCAAGCATTAGGGACTCTTCTGGGGCCACCATTATCTGTTTTGGAGTGCAAGAATAAGTGACTAATGAGCTCAAGGATGAGGAAAAGTTAAAATTTGGATTCTCATGTTTGGATTGCATTATTTCGTAACTGCACGTCCACAACTCACAATATCTTGTCCCAATTGGACACCCAACCCACCAACAACTTTCTTACACCAAGGCCACCAAGGTACGGTGAATTTTTTTTTTTTTTTAGAACCTGTAAGAATATTTTTTTTGATTATGAAAGAGAGAGTAATTAAGCACGGTGAATTTTTTTTTTTTTTGAGTGATTAGTATTTTTAAGTC